TGGGGGTGGATGGAGCCAGGCCATGAAGGTGAGGCAGAGAGTCCTCGTCCCCTGAACAGGGCAGCATCATGAGGGGCTGAGCAGGGTGAGATGTGGCCCAGCTGCCCTCAGGAGGAATCATCTGAACCCAGGTCGAGGGTGTCCTGGGTGGGGGGCCACAGGGACCCAGGCAGTCAGATGTGGTCCCTGGGAGGAGATGGGGGGCTGGGGAGGAGACGGGGTGGCCTTCAGGGTGGGGAGGTGAGGACCGAGGCAGGAAAGCTGCAGGAGCGTGGCTACTCCTACTCAGTGGGAGGAAGACTGGTGACCTGCAAAGGGAGATGGCAGGGGCCCTTCCAAAATCTGTCTATGACTCTATGCGTTGGCTTTGGACCCCCAGGCAAAACTTTATCTCAGGGCATCGGCACATGACACACTGGCTACAAAACCCATTATCCAGAGGAGTTACCACTCGACATTCAACTTAGCAGAGTTTGAATTCTAGAAGCTGAGCCTCTCCCGCCTCTGAACAACTGTTCCCATCCTGAGAGAGTCCACATCGTTGTAGAGACCTGCCCGCCCTGGATGGTGCTCCCCTCACCAAGCCGTGGTCTCCTGGAGGGCAGGGCCCCCATTCTGGCCACTCCTGTTCCCGGGCACCCACAGTCTCCATCACCGGGGGTTAGGTGTGATGGCATGTGTGGTTGACGAGTGTGATTCATGAGATACATCAAGCAAGATCCACTCCAAATTAAGTTCAAGGAAAAACTTTGGAATTGTAATATTGATTCTGTCCTATATCTTCTGTGTTTCATGCACAATATTGAACAAAGTTGTGTGTCCTACTTTAGGAAAAAAAAATAGAATTTTATTCAGGGTATTGATTTTCTGCAAAACCTGATTCCATCGTTTTAAGTAATGAATGCGATCACTCTCCTTATCTCCAGATACCTGTGTTACAGTCTTAGTGCTGATAACTGTGATCGGGGCTCAGCGATCGATGGCTTTCACAGCCAGTGTGTAGGCAGCTGCAACCGCAGTTCTGTTGACGTGTGTGGAAGAGGTTTCCAGCCAGAGCAGACAGTTAATCAGACCACGCAGGGAGAGAAAGTTAGGTGGAAGGAGGGACGGAGGCAAAGCTGCTCCCACTTACGCCCAAGGCCTCCGCACCTGCAGCCCCTGCAGACACACGCAGGGCAGTGGGGCATCCAGAGATCCAAGCTGGCTGGAACGTTAACAGGCTGGGAGGTGGGGGCGGGTGCGTGACTGCAGAGCAAGAGGCCTCAGCTTTCTTGAAAAGCCCTGAACTGCGATGCCCAAGGTCTGTGCACCAGAAAAATTGTAATATTGATTCTGTCCTATATCTTCTGTGTTTCATGCACAATATTGAACAAAGTTGTGTGTCCTACTTTAGGAAAAAAAATAGAATTTTATTCAGGGTATTGATTTTCTGCAAAACCTGATTCCATCGTTTTAAGTAATGAATGCGATCACTCTCCTTATCTCCAGATACCTGTGTTACAGTCTTAGTGCTGATAACTGTGATCGGGGCTCAGCGATCGATGGCTTTCACAGCCAGTGTGTAGGCAGCTGCAACCACAGTTCTGTTGACGTGTGTGGAAGAGGTTTCCAGCCAGAGCAGTTAATCAGACCACGCAGGGAGAGAAAGTTAGGTGGAAGGAGGGAAGGAGGCAAAGCTGCTCCCACTTACGCCCAAGGCCTCCGCACCTGCAGCCCCTGCACACACACGCAGGGCAGTGGGGCATCCAGAGATCCAAGCTGGCTGGAACGTTAACAGGCTGGGAGGTGGGGGCGGGTGCGTGACTGCAGAGCAAGAGGCCTCAGCTTTCTTGAAAAGCCCTGAACTGCGATGCCCAAGGTCTGTGCACCAGAATCCCGTGTCCCTTCCTGCATCGTTCCCAGCTGAGTCCAAACAGGTGAGTGTCCAGGAGGCTGAGCTCCAGTGCTCAGCGCCCAGGCCCTCAATGCTTGGGGATTCAGAGAAAAATCAATGTGAGCTGGCCAGGAAAGTGAACATAATATTTGATCCAAATCTGAAAGGATACCTCAGCAAAGCAAGAGACCCTGTGGGCTATAGAAGATGCAGAAAGAATAAACCACCTCAATAATTTAAGCAACCTTAAGCCTTTGATTCAGAAGTTACATCTATCCTGAAGTCTGAGCTGCTGACTGAATGAGAAACTGCACTGGAGGGCCCACATGCCTCCTCCTGTCCAAGGGCTGTTTGCTTCCAGAACAGCCTGGTCTCCCAGCCAGAGGCTCCAGAACTCTCTGCAAGTTATTACCTTGCTGGACTGTTCTTGACTTGTTTACTGGCCAGGTCTCCGGGAGAGTGTCCGGGTGCTGAGTCTGTAGAATATCTGAAGACAGAATAATCTTTCAATTTTTTATGTGAATTTTGATACAAAACCAATATCAGTCTCATACAAACCCTTGGACAGATGACACTGCTGGGGCCAAATGAAAATCTCATTGGAGATCCTGAGAAAGGCTGCATGCAGATGGGGACTTCAAGCACAGTGTTCACGGTCTGTCTTGACCTTCCCCTCACCCCCAGGATGCACTGAGTCAGTACCAAGTGTTTGTCATCTGCACTTATTTGTAAAGCTGCAAGAGAGATTTTAAAGGCCATGCAAATGGGATATGATCTCTTTAAAAATGAGTAAGGAGGCCACTGGTCTTCCCTGGTGACTCCGATGGGAAAGAACTGCCCTGCAGTGCAGGAAATCCAGGCTCGATCTCTGGGTCGGGAAGATCCCCTGGAGGAGGAAACGACAACCCACTCCAGCATTCTTGCCTGGGAAATCCCATGGACAGAGGAGCCTGGCAGGCTACAGCCCATGGGGTTGCAAAGAGTCGGACACGCCCGAGCAACTAACACACGAGGAGGTCACCACGGATCCATAGAGCGGGCCAATTCTTTCCTGAGAATGCATCTACTTCCCCGAGCCTCAGTGCAGTCTGTGAAGGCCCTATCCTACCTGAGTGCAGGAGGGAGCAGTGGGCCGGAGCTTGGAGATGTGGGGCAGCCTGAAGTCCTGCCTCCACAGGCTCCACGGTCAGGGCCATCGCTTGGGTCTGGCCGGAATAGGGGTGCTGACTTTGCACTTCTGCTTTGTCATCTGTGGTGGGGATGGTAGCCTCTCTGTGCAGCAGGTGCTTTGGGCATGATTAGAAGATTAAATGAGATGATCTCTGTCGAGCATTGAGAGCAGGGCCTGGCATGCTGTAAAGTGAAAGTGTAAGTGAGAGTGAAATCCGCTCAGTTGTGTCCAAGTCTTTGTGACCCCATGGAGTCTACAGCCCGTCGAACTCTCCAGACCAGAATNAGCTGGTACTGCCAGCAGGTCATTCCAGCCCATCTCTGCCAGCTCCCTTTTGCTGCAGATGGTGCCAGGTTTGGAAATGAGCTGTGAGACCTGTGAATGGGCTCGGCTCCTGGCAATTCATCTCCACCAGCCTGATCGCTTGAGACCAGTGGGTGGCTCTGGAAAGGGCTGCTATGGACTCGCGTCTCAGTGAGAGCCGGGGCACCAGACATCCCAGAGGGGAAGCTGGCGGATGCGGTTGCCAGGGTAACCCAGCCTGGTACTTTTCCCCATCTCACGCAGCCCCATGCCCATTCCCTCCTCTGCCCCAGGTCACCACTGCGCTTCCCTAATGAGGCTTCTCTGCCTTCTGCCTCCCTGTTCTCACTGCCTGAAGGGGCATTGGTCCCCGACCCCGACATCCACGCCCTGCGGAGGCGCTCTCCAAGGTGCTGACCGGCCCGCATACTCCTGGCACACAGGCTTTCCTCTGTGTGATGACTCTTAAAACTCTGCTCTCAGTACACCCCAGATCTGTGCTGACAACAATAGCATCTCCCAGTTATGAGGACGCGCAGTCTCTAGTCCTCACTGTGGTCTCGAGGCACCGGCGTTAAACGGGAAAAACGGGAGCTGCGGGGTAGTAGGGCAGTGCTGTAGCTCGAGGCAGGTCCTGTGGCTCTTTCCCCGCATCAGCGAACTTCTGTTCCACCTGTGTTTGCAGCTGATATGGCTGTGTGCGCCCTGATCTTGCTTCACAGTCAGCATGCCTGAGACCACGCTCGCCAGATGCGCTCCCGGCCCCGTGTGCCCCTCACTCACCGCCACACACCCAGTGCCTCCTCTCCAGCCACCTCCACCCATCAGTGTTTGACTCCTCTGGCTTTCCCCCTCTTTGCCTGTCCCAGCCTTTTATTTCTCATTTCATGTCTCTAGTTGAGGTCCCCCTTCCCCTTTCCCTCTCTCTTTCTTTAAATTCAGACTTTAAACCTGGTACTGACACTAGTGGGAATGCATTGGATATCTGTTCACTTGATGGTTAGGTTTTTATTCCATTAGTCATCTGGCTAATTGCTGTGTTATACTTCTGCTCCAGGCTGCATCCTCCAGCTCCATGAATATGCAGAATTTCAGTGACTCACTATCTCTCAGTCTCAAAGTAAACTGGAAGTCCCAGGAAGCTCCTGGATTCTCCTTTAGAAATAAATGCCAGGAATCTCCCACTGGCCCTCTTGTTAGGTGAATTCTTGTGGGAACATGGGAGGCAGAACGAGGAGGTAACTGGACAGGGAATCATACTATGAGGACCAACACAATACTTGTGAAAGTTAAAATGCTAAGGATTCATGCAGCCACAGTCATTCACATGGTCTGTCCTGGGTGTCATGTGGCTGATGAAACTCCTTACAATTTTTCCTGCTGAACAACCTCCATCTCATTATTTGGTAACCTAAGGGGCCAGATGCATAGCTTTCAATCACTTCTAGGCTCCCACAGAGAATTTTCCCTCTATCTGGAATCCTTCTTCTTCCCTGCTCCTTCCCATCTGGTCCCCGTGCCCTGCTTTGAAGCCCAGCCTCACACCACCTCATCCAGAAGCCCTGCCTAGTTCCCCTTCACTGGGGGCTGGCCCTTCACACTTGGAGCCTAGTAACCCCCTCCTGCCCCAGGCGGGGAAGTGCGCTATTCACCTTTGAATCTGTGGCCCCTGGGAGCACCCAAGCAGTCTGCACTGCCGCAGTGTTCGTAGTCAGAGATGGGCTGGTTTGGTGTCTAAACAGTGTCTGGAGAGATCCAGCACTACACTCCTTGGTTGTCCTAAAGATTCTATGCAAATAGTTCCTTTCCGTGTTAATCCTGAGATGTTAGAAGCACAGAGATATGAAGCTCAATACAAATAACGCCAGGAGCATCTTTCTTAATTAAATTTGAAATGCTAGTAATTAGCCACATTATTAGAGCAAATCGAATCTACCTTATGTCACTGACAGGACCGATGTCTGGAGGCTGGCCCCTCCTCACTCACAGTGGTTTCAGTCACATGAAATTGTAGCTCACGTGGCAACGTAACTGCCTTCTGAGCGATCCCTGCCCGGAGGTGCCTACTTCAAAGCGGGGTACTGGGGAGCTTTCTACACACACGAGTGCCGCCTCCAGGGCCTGCAGCTGCCCTCCCCTGAGCACGTGGGGGGTGGAGCTGTGGTGTCAGTTGGGTTGGATGGGCTCCCGGGGGGTCAGAGCAGTATCAGCGGCGCTGCCTACTGTGTGTGCAGGGCCTTCTGCCTCCTGCCTGGGTGCAGCCGGGAAGCAGGGGGTCGGGACATGGGAGGCAGAGACAAGGGTGAAGCTTCACACAAGCCAAGGAGCCACTGGGAGCTGGAAGAGGCAGGAAGGACCCTCCCCTGCAGCCTTGGAGGGAGCTCAGCCCTGCTGACACCTTGACGTAGGACTGCTGGCCTCCAGACCTGTAGAGAGAAAACAGTCACGCAGTTTTTGGTACTTTGTAACAGCAGCCCAGGAAACTGATGGGCCTGCCATGCCAGGTGCTGATGAGGTTCCTGGGACCCTAACAACAAGGGGCTGTTAGAAAGAAAAAAGCCCCAGCAGTTGCTTCATGTGGAATTTCCAACCAGCCTGATGCAGTCAGTGGTGCTGGGCAGACCCAAGAGTGTTAGCTGCTGTGTCCTGCACATCTGAGTTTGTGATGGGCTGGGCGTTCTTCATTCTTTCTCTTTTTCTTTCCTCTTTCAAACTAATGTTTGTTTTGGTTTTCTTCTAAATGCATCCCTTTAAATCTCTGGGGCTCTGCTCTCTCTGTCCCTGCCTCCCAGGGACATCTCTCTCTGCACTGCACCCCCCATCATATCTGCAGGGACCCTGAGAGCTAAATCCATCACCACTCCCGCTTGGAAACTGGTGTGCCAAAAGGAGGATTTAGGATAAAATCGTGTACTACCATCCCCTAGAGGGAAGACGGGCATCTCCCCCACCCATCCCCCACTCCTGACCTCATATGTGCACCTGCTGTTGTTCGCTAGATACTCCCCCAGGCTTTCTCAAGACACCTCTGCCTGCTCCCCAGGGAGGCCGTGGGGTCACCTCCTTAAACATTCCAGATAAGGCAAGTTAAGAAAACACCCCAGGGCTAAATTGCAGTTCATTTCTTCCCGGCTTGGAACACCCGTATCTGTGCAAGGCAATTAGGCTTAATGGGATCACCCCTTGCAGAGGGTAAGTGGTTGACTGCAGTTATCTGTAGGTGCATGGTGATGTTTTCCCTCCTAGAGACAACCTCTTCATCTGACACGTTGGAAAACCAGCTGCTGGGGTTGACCTCCTCTGGCCGACCTTGGCCATACTTTTGCAGTTACTTTATTGCAGAGCCTGGCAGGGCAGCTACTCAGTCACACAGCCAATGATGGGCAGTCGTGGCTGCGAGGCTTGTCCCCTGATTCATCCCACCCCCTGTTCCATCCCAGACCTCAGAGGTTGTTGAGGATGTAGGGCCTGGAGGTCAGCAGTTTGCCTCTGAGCCCAAAAGACCCCCAGAGAAAGGGAATGAAGGCAATGCAGAGCCCATCTCCTTCCCCCTTTTAGGCTCAATGTTATCAGAGTATCTCAGAGTCTGATGGACGTGTGGCCGGTGGGCAGAGATGACCTTCCGAGGGGGAACTTGCTTTGAGGGTAGAGAAGGTCGGGGTGGCTGGCTGGGGCAGACACTCACCTCAGGCCACGTCTGGTTCTGGAACTTCTGGACCAGTCCTGTGCGAGGGCTTCAAGTAAGTGACACAGCCTGTGAGTTTTGGATCAGTTAAGGGGGCCCCATGGCCCCGAGACCAGCTAAACTGAGGGTAACTGCAGGGAGCAGGAGATCCCCCGGCCCCTTGCCCCTCTGAGCTGTCCTCATCCGTTTGAGCTTCTGCAGTCTCCCTGGCATTTCTGGAGGTGCGTTGCCTCCCCCAGGGATGAGTGTCAAGAGAAACCTTCTGGAGGGGGTGGGTGGGCTTAACCTCATGGTGAGACCCCAGGGGGATCATGCTTGAGTTCTGCTAACTTCACCAAGCGGGAGGTAGCAGGGACAAGGCTTGGGGAGGGGCTATGTAATCCCCCCAAGGCAGTGTGGGTCCCTTGTGCACATACATGTGGGTTCAAATGGCCATTGCTTCCTGCTTCATCCTGGTGACCGTGATGCTGGTGTCTGTATCGCTGTGGGGTAAGAGCTGGGCTTGGAAGCCAGGACCTGGGGGAGGGGGTTCTGCTGTCCCCCCAGCTGGGGGCCTGGGAGTCTCCCCTTCTCCAGGGTCAGATGTCCTCATCTGAGTGTTGGGCCGGTGTCTCCAGAGGTGAAAGCATGCCTGGGAAAGTGCTTCTTTGAAAGTGAAGACCCTGTGAGGTGGCTCATTTGTTACTGTCACTCCCGAAGCCTTGTCATGCAGGGCCAACCTGTGTCTTATGCAGTTTGGATCTCACCTATTCATGAGCCCTGGTGTGAACTTAACTCCCCCTTAGAACTGGGGTCAGCGGTACCCAGGGTGGCCTTCCCAGGACCACGTGGATGGTCTCCACAGAAGGCGTGCACTGATACTCTATTTATGCCTCAGAAAGCTCGGTTTGGAGCAGAAATGAATTTGTCTTGTTCATGCCTCTCTTGGCAACAGTATTAATGGAGAGACATTTCATGGCATCTTCTGAACTTATGAATTTTGAGACAGGCAGCGTAGCTTTACAAAATCACTCGCAGAAACAAATTCTGAAGTGCAATTTGCTTTGCTTAATGAAAAGAAACCAAGAAGCCTGGGGTTGCTGCCTGGCTGTTTTCTTTAGACCCACCCCAGCCTGCACACGTTGGTGAGCCCTCACCTCTTCAAGCCAAGAGCTTTCAAACTTTAATCAGTTGAGGACCGTGGATGGAAAGCAGCTGAGGGGGCTTGTGTTGGAATTCCGTAATAGGGCGTCCCAACTTAGCATCTAAGTGGATTGCCACGCCAAGTTCAGAAACAGGACACCTGTTACAACACATCACAGCAGATGGTCCTGATTATCTGGGACCTGAGTTAGAATTTTCCAGCCAAGTCCAACAGGAATGTGTGATGTCAAGTCCAGACGTGCCCTGGGATGTTCTGGTTCCTGGAACCACATGTCTGGAAGACTGCTGGGCCCGCGTCTGTCCCTGCAGGGAGACCATGGTGGCAAGCAGTTCAGGGCCCCGTGACTGAGGGCTGCGATTTCGTTGCAGCAAGGGGACGTCTCTGGGAGCTGGCTGGGTAGCCCGTGGGCGGGACGGCAGTGCTGCGTCCTGCAGGCCTGGCTCTCCGGAGGCTGCCTGGCCCTCTTGTGCCCAGCCTCCCTGGGGCCCCCTCACTCTGGAGAATGGGGGCTCAGCCTCGTAGCCTAGTGGGGCAGGTTGTCACGTGTGTTGTCACGTGTGGCCTTGTATCCAGCGGCTGACTTCAGCATCGACTTCATTTTCTCCTGTCTCCATCCTCATTTTCCACTGACACTGCTGTGTAATTGCCTGCAGCCTGGGTAATTAATTGTTAGTTGTGGGTGCATCGGGGTAGTCGTCATGAGCAGGAGAGGCCCCTGTGTTGGGAAGGGCTCTGAATTGAATTTTCATCCACTCAGCACAGTCACTGTTAATTACTAGAGCCAGAGTGAGGCCATTTTGGAAATGAAAACACAATACCCTGACTCCCAGCCCTTCTGGATCCATTAAGCTCTCTTTCAGCTGCCTTGCAGATCCATGCAGATAACGGCTTCAATGCCTTCTTTAGGCTTACGTATAGATACAATCGTGCCCATAGAGGCTGCTTCTGTCCCTCTGACAGACAGGGTGGGCTGCACGTGCAGCTGGCTGTTTCTTGATTGTGCCATGCTCAGGTTCATCTGGCCCTTGGTTGGACCCCTTGCAAGAGAAAAGAGTAGCAAGCCTGGGAGGCTGGCCGTCGTTACATTAAGTACGTGGCTGGAAGGTGTTGACGTTGGCAGGGTGCCCCCTCACCAAACGGTCTGTTTGAGATTCAGTTTGTCTCTGCTCAGTCCTCACCTGCCCTCTTTTGGGAATTCTTCAAGCAGCTTTTTCTCGCGGCACATGGTTTACGTTGGTTTCTGGCTAATGTAGATTTACCTAGGACTGCACCTGCCATAGACTTGGATTATCCTGATACTGAATGGTTTGCCTTGGAAACGAACAGAGATCATTCTGTCATTTTTGAGATTGCATCCAAGTACTGCATTTCGGATTCTTTTGTTGACCATGATGGCTACTCCATTTCTTCTAAGGGATTCCTGCCCACAGTAGTAGATATAATGGTTATCTGAGTTAAATCCACCCATTCCAGTCCATTTTAGTTCACTGATTCCTAAAATGTCAACATTCACTCTTGCCATCTCCTGCTTGACCACTTCCAATTTGCNTGTGGTGTTGGAGAACACTCTTGAGAGTCCCTTCGACTGCAAGGAGATCCAACCAGTCCATCCTACAGGAAATCAGTCCTGAATATTCACTGAAAGTACTGATGCTGAAGCTGAAAGTCCAATATATGGCCACCTGATGTGAAGAACTGACTCATTTGAAAAGACCCTGATGCTTGGAAAGATTGAAGGCGGGAGGAGAAGGGGATGACAGAGGATGAGATGGTTGGATGGCATCACCGACTCAATGGACATGAGTCTGAGTAAACTCTGGAAATTGGTGATAGACATGGAGGCCTGGCGTGCTGCGGTTCATGGGGTCTCAAAGAGTCGGACATGACGAGCAACTGAACTGAACTGAGGTGAACTTAGCTTGTCATGTAGAGATGTATGTCATTAATATAAATATTCCAAAATTTATGTGGAATCCCTAACATCTGATACGTCCTGATATAATGTTATCAGTCAAAATTCTAGTTATTATCCTAAGATGTTATATGTTGCAGAAATATCCTAGTTTCCTGGTAATTGAGTTGTACTCAAATCTTTTACCATGCTATTTTTAGTTTCATCCTTTATAGACTATCATAATTTTACATTGCTTTCACAAAAAGAAGACTTTCAAGAAGGCTCATAAAAAGAACCTTTTACAACAAGTGTAAGTTTATTATAGGGCTTCCCGGGTGGTTCAGTGGTAAAGAATCTGCCTGCCAACGCAGGAGATGCAGGTTCAATCCCTGGGTCAGGAAGGTCCCCTGGAGGAGGGCATGGCAACCCACCCCAGTGTTCTTTGCCTGGAGAATCCCGCGGACAGAGGAGCCTGGTGGGCCACAGTCCATGGGGCTGCAAAGAGTTGGACATGACTGAGGGATTGGGCACACATGTGGAGAATATTCTGGATTACCTGGGTGGCCCCAGTGTGATCACAGGGTCCTTTAAGAAGGAGCCCAGAGGGTCAGAGGCAGGAGAAGAGGTGTAGTGACCAGGCCAAAGCTCCTTCAGGCTGGAGTGATGCACTTAGAAGGGAGGAGAGGGCCAGGAGCCAAGAAATGCAGGCGCCTGTAGAAGCTGGAGAAGGCACGGAAACAGATTCTCTGCTGGAGCCTGCAGAAGAAGCGCAGCCTTCCCGACCCCAGAATTTTAGCGTTCTCGCTTCCAGAACTGGAAGAGAAGAAATTTGTGTGTATGTGCTTTTTTAAGCCGCTGAGTTTGTGGCCATTTGTTAGAGCAGCAATAGGAAGCCAGCCTGGTACCTCTGCTGAAACGAGGACCATTTATCGCTTTTGATGCACGAGGCTGAATCCTCACGTGCACGGAGCAATTCTGGCTGAGAGCGGCTGTTGACTAACAACTGCACATCATGGTAAAACACGATTAAATGGAAGCTTAAAGGTTCCCATTAACTTCCTTTCGTGAAGGTTTCATGATGTGTTTAAAGGGAAAAAATGTAAGTATGTCACTCTATCATCTGTTTCAAAGATGCAGGAAAAAAGTGAGAAAAAAGAGAATCAAAGCTATATTTTGAACTTTGGAAGGCCACCTTTCTCAGGGCCCTCAGATTCCCACTGGAGGACAGAACACATACCTCTGCTTGAAAGGGTACTTTGTAGTTTTCTGTTTCTTTTGTCCTTTTTATTTTCTGTCTCAGCGTGTCTCTTATTTGTGGGCAGTGTGCTGCTTTCATTTCAATTAACAAGATGCTGACCAGGAAGGTTTCCGAGGGGAAGTGAGGGGCGGGTGTCCAGGCTGGCCACCAGGAGCCTGTGACCTGGTCCAGTCACACCCCTGCCTGGGCCCTGGGCCCTGGCCCCGCTTCTCGAAAACGCGGGGTCAGCTTGGATAGCCCCTGGCTCCCTTCCCTCTGAATTCTGGTCCTACCCAGGCTGTTTTGAGAGCCGATTGAATGGGACACTCTTTGCTTCTATTCATCCGGACATTTCCAACTCAAAGTCTTTAAAGGTGGGCTGAACTTTCCCTTTTTTTTTCTCTTGAGAAAACAAACAAACAAATTAGTGTCTACACATGTTAATAAGCTACCCAAAGACCACCATTCATCATTCTGATTGAAACCTTTTAAACTGTATAATTGTGCTGTTTTCCTTAGTTCCGATAATGAAGTAGCTTTTGAGGCAACGATGATGAACTGCAGGCTTGATAGAGTGCGAAGCATTTGTCTGTAGGTGTCTGCTTTCTTTGGTTTTAAATTTATCTTAACTCTCGGTGTGGAGCGAGCAGCCCCGGATGGTGGTGCTGCCTCTAGAATGACAATGCCTTCTTCGTCCCACCCCAGATCAGCAAAGGGTGATTCGTGAGGCTGCTGTTCTCTCTTTCAGGAGTGGTGATTTTTCCCT